GATGAGCGACTGATGCATCCGGCAGGTGCCTTTCCCCTGGAGGCCTACTCGCACTTTGCCGGTCTGCCCGGCATTCCTCCAGCAGGTAAGCAGAGACTTGAGATGCATATCAAGGAAACTTATAGGTAATGAATATTCTCGTTGCAGCATTTCTGAATCCGGCGGCTGGTCTGCCCTACTCGGATCCGCTGTACTTGGAGCACCGCTATCAGCTGTTTCGTGCGGCCGGCGGCCATCATGGGCATCCGCATGCAGCKGCGCTCTACCCCCCCATGGCCTCACCCTATTCGCATCTGTACTCGATGATGCCTGGCGCAGCGCTGGGCATGTCGCCGGCAATGCACGACCGCCTTAAGCTGGAGGAGGAGCATCGGGCGCGTCTGGCGCGCGAGGAGGAGCGAGAGCGTGAGCTGCAGCGCGAAAAGGAACGGGAGCTGCGTGAGCAGCGCGAGAAGGAGCAGCGCGAGCGGGAACGGGAGCAGCGTGAACGGGAGCGGGAGCAGCGCGAAAAGGAGCAGCGCGAGAAGGAGCAGAAGGAGAAGGAGGCGCGCGAGCGCAAAATGCGCGAGGAGGAGCGSGAGGCCAGAGAGCGTGAGCGCCAGCAGCTGCTGAGCGCCACGCACCACTACTCCAACCAGCTRTACGCGCCGCTCAATCGCAACCTGCTCGGCTCCATGATGCCGCACATCAATCTGGGCCTGCGCGGCCCGCCCGCTGGCCTGCACGGTCTGGCTGGCATGTCGCACTACCACGCGGCGGCTGCCAATGCGCAGCGCCAGAGCCCCATGGGGCTCAATCTGGGCATGGCCGGCATGCCCACATTGCCGGGCCACGGACCCGCCAATCTGCAGCATCACTTGCAGCAGGCGGCCATGGGTCTGGCTGCTCATCCAGGGGCTGGGCTCACCCATCCAGGCTTCTCGGCAGCCGCGGCGCTCGGCCTGGGCCCGCATCCACACAGCCTCAATCTGAACCATCCGCACCTCTCGCCGCATCATGCGGTGCACCAGCTGCCGCCGCACTCTGTCGCCAGCTCGTCGGCTGGGCCCAGTCCCGGGGTGGTGGCCAGCAGTGCGGTRGCCACGTCGTCGTCGCCGCACAGCAGCCTTAACCTGACGGTGGCCACCAGCAGCATGGCTCAGACCACGTCCACGCCCAGCTCGCACATTCCGACCATGAGCCACTACTACCACCATGGACACCTGGCCGCCATGCACGCAGCAGCGGCTGCCAGCGGCCTCACTCCTGTCGCCGCCCATCAGCAGCCGCT